CCCGCGCTGGCGGCTGCGCACAAGCAGCAGCTGCAGCTCGAGCAGCTGCAGCTCGAAAAGAAGCTGCAGCAGCAGCAGAGGCAGCTCCAGCAGCTGCAGCAGCAGCAGCTTCAGCTCCAGCAGCAGCAGCAGAGGCTCCAGCAACACAAGCAGCAGCAACTCCAGAAGCAGCAGCAGCAGCAGCAGCAGCAGCAGCAGCAGCAGCAGCAACAGCAGCAACAGCAGCAGCAGCAGGAACAGCAGCTGCCTGAAGGCTTTTACAATTCCATGGCCGACGCAAAACTCGCACAACTCCACACAGAGGGAAGGTCAGACTGTCTCCTTTTGTCTCCTTTTTGCTTTTATTTTATTTTATTTCATTTTATTTATTTTTTATTTATTTTATTTATTTTATTTATTTTTTATTTTCCTTGTTTCCTTTTTGTTCTTTTTGTCCCCTTTTTGTTTCCTTTTCTGTCTCCTTTTTGTCTCCTTTTTTATTTTCTTTTTTTCCTTTTCTTTTCTTTTCGTCTCCTTTTGTCTCCTTTTGTCTCTTTTTGGTTTTTATTTTATTTTAGATTTTTAAATTTCTTTTTGTTTTCTCCTTTTCCTTTTACTTCCATTTTTTTCCTTTTGTGTCTCTCTTCGTCTCTTTTTAAACTCCCTTTTGTCTCTTTTTTCTCTCCTTTTTTATTTCCTTCTTGTCTCCTTTTTATTTCTTTTTCTTTCCTTTTTATTTTATTTTATTTTATTTTGCTTTTTTATTTCTTTTTTGTCTCTTTTTATTTTTGTCTCTTTTCAATTTTTATTTTTTTTGTCTCCTTTCTGTTGTTTTCTCCCGCTGTCTCCCTTTCCACATTTTCTAAAATATATTTATATTTATTTATTATCTGTTTATTATTATTTATTTATTGTTTATTTATTTTTTATATATTTGTTAGCATTATTTATTATTTAGTATTCATTCTTTATTACTCAATATTCACTATTTATTATTTGTTGTTTAGCGTTTATTTTATTAATATTTGTTGTTTGTAATTTATTATTCATTGGTTATTATTTATTGTTATTTATTATTTATTAAATTGTTAATTAGTTAATTAGTTTATTTACTTATTATTTACTATTTCTTATCAATTAATTAACTAATTAACTACTTTATTTATTTAGTCAATTAATCAATTATTTAATTATTTAATTAATTGATTAATTAGTTAATTAATTAATTAATTTATTTCTTTACAGCGTTTTTGCGCATTTAAAGAGACAAGTGGGGGCCCCCCAAAGGGCCCTTTTCTTTTGCACTATTTCATATCAATGAATTGCTTTTGCACTATTTCATATCAATGAATTGCTAATAATTAATTATTAATCATTAATTATTAATTAAATATTATTTATTCATTTATTTATTATTTATTATTTATTAGTTATTTATTTCTTTATTTATTTGTTCAGATACAGAGTTTTTGCGCATTTAAAGAGACAAGTGGGGGCCCCCCAAAAGGCCCTTCTGAGGGGCCCCTCAGGAGACACCCAAGTGACCCTTTGGTGCAGCAACGACTACTTGGGCATGAGCCAGCACCCCCGCGTCATAAAGGTCTTTTTTGTCCCTTTTGTCTCCTTTTTGTCTCCTTTTTGTCTCCTTTTTGTCTCCTTTTAATCTCCTTTTGTTTCTCCTTTTTGTCTCCTTTTTTTCTGTTCTTTTTCGCTCTTTTTGGCGCGTTTTAGGCGCCTTTTGGACTCGTTTTGTCTCCATTTTGTCTCCATTTTGTCTCCATTTTGTCTCCATTTTGTCTCCATTTTGTCTCCATTTTGTCTCCATTTTGTCTCCATTTTGTCTCCATTTTGTCTCCATTTTGTCTCCATTTTGTCTCCATTTTGTCTCCATTTTGTCTCCATTTTGTCTCCATTTTGTCTCCATTTTGTCTCCATTTTGTCTCCATTTTGTCTCCATTTTGTCTCCATTTTGTCTCCATTTTGTCTCCATTTTGTCTCCATTTTGTCTCCATTTTGTCTCCCTTTTGTCTCCCTTTTGTCTCCTTTTTGTCTCCTTTTTGTCTCCATTTTGTCTCCTTATTTGTCTCTTTATTTATCTTTTTTGTTTCATTATTTGTCTCCTTATTTGCTCTTTTATTTATCTCTTTTTGTCTCCTTTTTATTCCTCAATTTGTTTGTTCCCTTTCTCTCTCTCTTTGGGGAGAGAACATCTCCCACTCTGTCCCTCTTTATGTGACAATACTAATATTTAATTAATTAATTAAATAATTAATTAATTAATTAATTAATTAATATATTATTTAATTAATTAATTAAATAATTAAATAATTAATTAATTAATTAATTAATTTATATATTATTTAATTTAACGAATGAATTCATTTAATATACCTGGCTCTCTCGCACCTGAAAAGTGTTTTAAATCGAAAACTAGATTTTACCTTCGTTTTCTGGAGAACTTGCATTCTCTTTTTCCCGGCTCAACAGCCCCTTCACCCCGCCTCCAAAGTGTCTCCGAACTGCAGCAAAAGTGTCTCCGAACTGCAGCAAAAGTGTCTCCAAAGTGCAGCAAAAGTGTCTCCAAAGTGCAGCAAAAGTGTCTCCAAAGTGCAGCAAAAGTGTCTCCAAAGTGCAGCAAAAGTGTCTCCAAAGTGCAGCAAAAGTGTCTCCAAAGTGCAGCAAAAGTGTCTCCAAAGTGCAGCAAAAGTGTCTCCAAAGTGCAGCAAAAGTGTCTCCAAATTGTCTCCAGGCCGCCCAAGAGGCGCTCGAGCGCAGCGGCGCCGGCAGCGGCGGCACCCGCAACATTTCCGGCTCCAACGTTTACCACCAAACCCTCGAACAAGAAATCGCGGATTGGTCCGTTTCCTGTCCCTTTTTCCCTCTCCTTTTGTCTCCTGTTTGTCCGTTTCCTGTCCCTTTTTCCCTCTCCTTTTGTCTCCTGTTTGTCCCCTTCAAAGTCTGCTGTTTATCCCCTTCAAAGTCTGCTGTTTGTCTCCTCCAAAGTCTGCTGTTTGTCTCCTCCAAAGTGTGCTGTTGTCTCCTCCAAAGTGTGCTGTTGTCTCCTCCAAAGTGTGCTGTTGTCTCCTCCAAAGTGTGCTGTTGTCTCCTCCAAAGTGAGCTGTTTGTCCGCGGCCCGAAACCCTAAATGAGGGTTTGCGGGGGCGCGCAGGCACGGGAAACAGGCGGCGCTGCTCTTCTCCTCCGGCTTCGCCGCCAACCAGGGCGCCCTCAGCTGCCTCGCCGAACTCTTCCCCGACTTGGTGTACTTGTCGGACTTCGAAAACCACTTTTCGATGCGGCTGGGGATGAAGCTGGCGGGCGCGCAGCGGCTGGTCTTCCACCACAACAACCCCACCCACCTGCGCGCGCTGCTGCAGGCGCTGCCGCCCCGCAAACCCCGAATTGTGGTTTTGGAGAGTCTCTACTCCATGGACGGCTCCATCGCGCCGCTGCATGCCATTTGCAAAACTGCCAAAACTCACAACGCCCTTCTTTACCTCGACGAGGTCCACGCCGTCGGCATGTACGGCCCTTCCGGCGCCGGCGTCGCGCAGCAGCTCGGCTGCGCCCACCTCGTCGACCTCCTCAACGGTCTGCTGCTGCTGCTGCTGCTGCTGCTGCTGCTGCTGCGCTGCTGCTGGGGGGAGGGGAGTTGCTGCTGGGGGGAGGGGAGTTGCTGCTCGGCTGCTGCTGCTGCTGCTGCTGCTGCTGCTGCTGCTGCTGCTGCTGCTGCTGCTGTTCTTGTGTAAACCCTAAACCCTAGATTGGGGGATACGGCGCGGCGGTTGGCGTGCAGGGACGCTGGCGAAGGCCGTGGGCGTGTTCGGAGGTTATGTGGCGGGAAACAAAAACCTCATTGACTGCATCAGGTCCTACGCAGGTGATAAACCCTAAACCCCAGCTAAACCCCAAACCCTCGCTAGGGTTTAGGGTTTGGGGGCCACGTGCGTTCATTTCACTTTTGTTTCTCTTTAGGCAGCTTCATCTTCACCTCCTCGCTGCCGCCACCCGTCACTGCTGCAGCAACAGAGTCCATCAGATACCTCAAGAAGTCCAAGTGAGGGTTTAGGGTTTAGGGTTTAGGGTTCAGGGTTCAGGGTTCAGGCTTTGGGGTTTAGCAGCAGCAGCAGGGTCTCCGTGCCGCAGCGGGACAGGCGTCCCCGTGCTGCAGCACGTGCCCCTCAGCAGCAGCAGCAGCAGCGTGTGTGTCTCCTTGCTGCAGCACGGAGCGCTACCTGCAGCAAGTGCGGGCCTGCCAGCTGAAGGCTTTGCTGCTGCTGCACAATCTCCCGCTGCTGTTTAATGCTTCCCACATTTTGCCCCTTTTCGTCGGAGACCCCGTCAAGTGCAAACAAGCCACGGACTTGCTGCTCCACGAACACAAAGTCTGCTGCTGCTGCTGCTGCTGCTGCTGCGCTGCTGCTGCTGCTGCTGCTGCTGCTGCGCTGCTGCTGCTGCTGCTGCGCTGCTGCTGCTGCTGCGCTGCTGCTGCTGCTGCTGCTGCTGCTGTGCTGCCGTTGCTTTTGCTGCTGCTGCTGTTGTTGCTGCTGCTGCTGCTCTCGCTGCTGCTGTCGCTTCTGCTGCTGCTGCTGCTGCTGCTGCTGCTGCTCCTGCTGCTGCTTCAGGTGTACATCCAGCCAATAAACTTCCCCACAGTGCCGCGGGGCTCGGAGCGGCTGCGGCTGACTCCAAGTCCCCACCACAGCGAAGAAGATTTGCTGCAGCTTGTTGCTGCTCTTGCTGCAGTTTGGAGACAGCTGCAGCTGCCCACGGCCACCGACTGCCTCAAAAGGGGACTGTCTCTAAACCGCAGCGGCAGGCAGCTGCAGCAGCTCCTCGACCTCCTCCAGCAGCAAATGCTCTTCCTCCAGAAGCAGGCAGCAGCAGACAGCAGCAGCAGCAGCAGCAGCAGCAAGAAGGAGCCCTGTCCCTTCGGCGTCGCCGCGGCGGACCAGTGGAACGCGCAGTGCAGCAGCAGCAGCAGCAGCAGCAGCAGCAGCAGCAGCGGCGGCGACTGGCAGGAGGCGCTGGACCAGGAGAGGGCGGAGCAGCTGGTGCGGCAGCAGGAGGCGCTGCAGCAGGACTTGCTGCAGCGGGACTTGCTGCAGCGGGGCTTGCTGCAGCAGCAGCTGATGCAGCAGGAAAAGCTGCTGCAGCAGCAGCTGCTCTGCTCCCAATTCTTCTTCACAGATAGCTGCATCGGGCCAAATTCTATCAACAGCAGCAACGACGCAGCTGCAGCAGCAGCAGCTGCTGCTGCTGCAGCAACCGCAGCAGCAGCACAGAGAAGAAGCAACCTTAAGGAAACGGCGCCCCCCTTGTAACGACGAAGCAGCAGCAACGCCCCTGACAGCAGCTGCAACAGCAGCAGCAGCAGCAGCAGCAGGAGGCGCATATGAAGGGCCTTTGTAGCTGTTTATTACTTCTTTTTATTCCAGACCCTTGTGTTCTCTTGTGTCCCCTTTTGTGTTTGTTTGAATTTCACATTTTTAATTTCGCTGCTGCAGCTGTTGCAGCTGCAGCAGCTTCAGCAGCAACAGCTGCTGCAGCAGCAACAGCTGCTGCTGCTGCTGCTGCTGCTGCTGCTGCTGCAGATGCAGCAGAAAGAGATAGATGCAGCCCCATGTTGCTGAGAAACGCTCAGGCGTATGGACACCCCGACGGCCTTCGGGTTTAAAGTTCGGAGTTGAGGGTTTAGGGTTTCGGGTTTAGGGTTTAGGGTTTAGGGTTTATACCCAGGGTTTAGGGTTTAGGGTCGGGGGTTTAGGGTTTAGCGCCTAGGGTTTGGGCTTTGTGGGGGGAAGTGGGACCATCTAATGGGGCGACCAGCAGCACCTTTACTGAGTTTGGTGAGCCGCTAGGGTTTAGGGTTTGGGGTTTAGGGTTTAGGCTAGTTGCTGGAGTGAGCGGACTCTGGAGAGCCCGGTGGGCTGCCAGCTGCTCAGTCTTTGAATTGAGCATTAAATTTATTAAATAAAGAAAATAAATTTAAAAAAAGTCAATTAAAAGTTCAATTGTTTAGCAATTGCTGCTGCTGCTACTGCTGCTGCGGTCTTGGGGGCGTAGAGCAGCAGCAGACCGCTGCTGCTGCCGCTCTACGCGCAGTTCGGCGTCCGCTGCTGCTGGGATTGTGTTTTAAATGGATTATTTAGAAAGAAAAAGAAGAAAATAAATCAAAAAGAAGAAAATAAGTTGATTTAAAGTGGAAGTTGGCGTTTGTTGAGGTTTCTGCTGCAGTTGCAGCTGCGGTGTACGTACACTTCGCGGCTGCATGCATGCGCGGTCGACGAGCGTGTGTCGCTCGTTTTTAGAGGTTTTTGCTCTAAAAAAGGTCTATTTGAGTTGCAAAATTCGAATATTTTGTTTATTTCTTCGAAAAAAAGCTCCAAGTTGCTCTTTTCCCCCTTTTCCGGCTCTTCCGGGGAGTCCACCGGTCGCCCGGTCGCCGCACACAGCAAATTTCCGGGATTTGTTTCCCCGCCGCCTCCGGGCCAATTCTTTGCGCCTTAAACCCTTTAAATATTTAAAATTAATTCAAAAGTGCTTTTGATTTCTTTCTGTGCTTCTTCCTTTATCTTTTCAGCCCCGCTGCTGCTGCTGCTGCTGCTGCTGCTCGCTGCCGCGCCCGGTGTACGTGCACCCCGGCACTTGCTGCTGCTGCTCCTTTTTCTTCTTTTGCTTCTTCGCAACTTCTGCTGCTGCTGCAGCAATGCCGGAGTCGCCGCAGCAGCAGACTCCCCCGCATCTCTCTAGCGGTGAGCTCCAAACCCTAAACCCTAAACCCTAAACCCTAGCTCGCCAGCGAGACTCAGCCCTGCGCCTCCGCAGCGCTCGCTGCTGCTCATTCTGCTGCTGCTGCTGCTGCTGCTGCTCAAGGCGGAGACCCCAACGGCGCTGAGGCGCCGCGTGCTGCAGCTGCTGGTGACGCTGCAGCAGCAGCAGCAGCAGCAGAGGCTGGCGACTCCCAGGCGCCAGCCAGCAGCACTGCTGCTGCAGATGGAGCTGCCGGGGAGCCATCTGCTGCTGCTTTTGCTGCAGCAGCAAAAGCAGAGACTGCAGCGGAGGCAGCGACGGAAGCAGCAGCAGCAGCATCCGCAGCAGCAGCAGCAGCCGGAGCATCCGCAGCAGCAGCAGCAAACGCATCTTCTTCCGTTGCTGCTGCAGCAAGTCTGAAGGAGACTCGTTTTGCTGCAGGGGAGCCCCCAGGCCGCCAGAAGCAGCAGCAGCAGCGGAGCAGTCTGTCGCGGGACAAAGCAGCAGCAGCAGCAGCAGCAGCAGCACCTGCAACAGCAACAGCAGCAGCACCAAAGGGACAGGGCCTGTGGCACCAAGTGCTGAAGGAAGCAAGAGACAAAAGCCAACAAACAGCAGCAGGCTGCATCATTGTCTTGGGTGTGCTGCTGCTGTCTCCTTTTGTCTCCTTTTTAATTCTTTTTAATTCTTTTTAATCCTTTTTAATTCTTTTTAATTAATTCCTTTTAATTAATTCTTGTTAAATCCTTTGAATTCTTTTTTGATTCTTTGTAGATCTTTTTTTAAATCTCTTTTATCTTTTTTATCTTTTTTGTCTCTTTTTGTCTCCTTTTGTCTTTTTTTTGTCTCTTTTTGCTTCTCCCGATTTGTGTCTCCTGCTACTCCTCAGCATTCACCTGTATTCTTCGTTGCTGCTGCTGCTGCTGCAGTGTTGCTGCTGCTGCTGCTGCTGCTGCGGCATTTCTGCTGCTGCTGCTGCCGCACTGTTGCTGCTGCTGCAGTGCTGCCGCTGCTGCTGCTGCTGCAGCGTTGCCGCTGCTGCTGCAGCGTTGCCGCTGCCGCTGCTGCTGCTGCTGCTGCTGCAGGGTGCGAGGACGTGGGGAAGACAACGCTGCTGCAGCAGCTGCAGCAAACGGGGGCTGTGTCTCCGTTGGCAGCAGCAGAACTGCACGAAGACACGGGAGGTGTCTCCTCTTTGGATTATGCCTATCTCCAAATCAAGTGTCTCTTCACAGACCAAGACGACGCAGCAGAAGCAACAGGAGCAGCCCACGTCTACGTCCTCCAGCACCCCGACGCCTGGTGCTGCTGCTGCTGCTGCTGCTGCAGTGCTGCTGCAGTGCTGCTGCTGCTGCAGTGCTGCTGCTGCTGCTGCTGCTGCAGTGCTGCTGCTGCTGCTGCTGTTGTTGTCTCCGCGTCTCTCCTTCTCTCTCCTTCTGTCCCCTCCCTTGGTTCTCTTTGGCCGCGTTTGTCTCCTTTCGCTCCTAGGGCCTAGGGCCTAGGGCCTAGGGTTTAGGGTTTAGGGTTTAGGGTTTAGGGTTTAGGGTTTGCGTGCAGGGAGGCGCTGTGCGAGCGCGTGTCTCCTTCGTGGTTTGCGCACTTGGCCATTTTGATTTGCGTGGATTTGCTGCGGCCTTCTTACGGGCTGAAGTGTCTCCTTTTGTGGCTGCGTGCTGCTGACAAGATTGCGCAGCACTTGCTGCAGCAGCAGACCCCGCAGCAGCAGCAGCAGATCCTCGACAAAAGTCAGCGCTCCCGCGCCCCCTCCTGCTCCCAGTCCTGCTGCTGCTGCTGCTGCTCCTGTTGCTGCTGGTTGGGCTGCTGCAGCTGTTGCTGCTGTGCTGCTGTTGCTGCTGCTGCTGCTGCTGCTGCTGCTTCCTCCTTTTGTCTCCTTGTTTGTGTCCCTTGGCCCTTCTTGTCTCCTTAAATCTCCTTTTAATTTATTTATTTTAATTTTATTTTTATTTTATTTTCAAAATTATTTTAATTTCTTTTCATCTTTTTTGTCTCCTCTCTCTCCCTTCCCAGCCCCCGAGCAAATAACAAACCATAATTACCATTACTATTCTCACAATTAATTAATTAATTAATTAATTATTTATTTATTTATTTATTATTTATCTATTATTTATTATTTATTTATTTATTTATTTATATTTATTTGTATTTATTTTTATCTGCAGCAGCAGCTTATTTGTCGAGCTACAAATCGCACTGTCTCCACAGTCTCCTTTCGAGGGCCCCCACGGAAAGACTTTCTGTCTCTGGCGAGGTGAAGTCTTTGCAACTTTTGATCAATTTTTTTCCATTTTTGTCCATATTTGTCCGTTTTAATCCATTTTAGGCCACCTTTATGCACTTTTATGCATTCTATTTCACTTTATTTCATTTTATTCCACTTTATTTCATTTTATTTCAATAGATTTCACTTTATTTCCATATATTTCACTTTATTTCCATATATTTCACTGTATTTCAATATATTTCACTTTATCTCAATGTTTCACTTTAATTCAATATATTTCACTTTAATTCAATATATTTCACTTTATTTCATTTTATTTCATTTCATTTTATTTTATTTCATTTTATTTCACATTTGTCCCCTTTTTTATCCCCTCACTAATCCCTCATTATCCCTTTTGTTAATTGCCTTACTTGTCTCCAAAGTGTCTCCAAATTGTCTCCAAATTCATTTAAAATTGTCTCCAAATTGTCTCTAAGTTCATTTAAAATTATCTCCAAATGGTCTCTT